AAGTATAAAAATGCTTGTTCTTGTATTTAAGACCTAAAAAAACGGTTTCCAAAACGGAGGGTAGAATTCTTTGAACAAATTGCTGCATCTCCGGAATATAGATTTGCTACATTCAATCCAAATCTGGGTCTCTCTCTGTGTGTGTGGGTGTGTGGGTGTGTCATTCAACTCCGGATGAAAATTCTTCAACAAAGAAGCTGATCAAAGATGTTCTACAGCAAAAGGTGTGTGAGACTCTAGAAAGAATGCAGAGAAGAGCAACAAAGATGATTAGGGGACTGGAGGCTAAAACATATGAAGAACGGTTGCTGGAATTGGGTATGTCTAGTTTAATGAAGAGAAGGACGAGGGGGGACATGATAGCAGTGTTCCAATATCTCAGGGGCTGCCACAAAGAAGAGAGAGTCAAGCTCTTCTCCAAAGCACCTGAAGGCAGGACAAGAAGCAACGGGTGGAAACTAATCAAGGAGAGAAGCAACCTAGAACTAAGGAGAAACTTCCTGACAGAACAATTAACCAGTGGAACAACCTGCCTCCAGAAGCGGTGAATGCTCCAACACTGGAAGTTTTTAAGAAGAGACTGGACAGCCATCTGTCAGAAATGGTGTAGGGCTTCCTGCCTGAGCAGGGGGTTGGACTAGATGACCTCCAAGGTCCCTTCCAACTTTTTTATTATTATTATTATTATTATTATTATTGTTGTTGTTGTTGTTGTTGTTGTTGTTGTTGTTTTGTTATAATTATAATTATAATTATAATTATAATTATAATTATAATTATAATTATAATTATAATTATTATTATTATTATTATTATTATTATTATTATTATTATTATTATTATTATTATTATTATTATTATTATTATATGGTCTGGAGTCTCTCAGTATATGCAGGTATAAATGATAGATGAAAGAAGTCGCCAAATATCAGTAAAATGAGGAGGGCTCCTTGCTGCTGGCTGATCTTAGTGGTTTTCTTGCAGACATTTCATTATCCAATTAAGTAACACCATCAGTGTTGGAAGGGAGTCGGGTTCTCTCTTTGTTTATATACAAGGGCTTTGCCAGGCTCCATTTATTTCTATCCTTGTAAACATTACTTCTTTATCTAACTTTAAATGTTACCTCCTTACAGCTAGCACTGATGATGTCACCTAGTTTGGGTCATGACTGAAATGTCTGCAAGAAAACAACCAAGCTCAGAGAGCACCAAGGAGCCTTCACGTCAAGCTACAAACATTCTCCTTTATTGTTTATTTAATGTTTATTTAATGATCAATTGTCCTTAAGAGAAAATAAATTGTATTTCATTGGAAGACATGCAGGTCGTCTTCAACTTACAATGTATTTTGAGTCCAGAATCAGACTTCTTAACTCATGCCAGTCCTTAAGCAGGTCACCAACGTGATCACACCTGCTTTTATGACTTTTTTTGGCAGTGGTCATTAAATGAATACTACAGTCATTAAGTGAATGCTGGAGTCATTAAGCAAATCCATTGTCCGCGATGAACTTTTTTTTTTTTTTGCCGGAAACTGTAAATTAAAGGCCAGTTTCTGGCAAAAAAACACATAAATTGTGGTCCTATGACTGTGGGATGCTGCAAACTGCCATAAATGCAGGCCACTTCCCAGGTCTTCCAAATGTGATAAGGTGACCTCAGTGTGGGTGTGTGGGTGTGTGAGAGAGAGATGGATAGGGATGGATGGATGGTTGGATGGATAGAAAGACAGATGATTAGATAGAACAGTGGTTCTCAACCTTTTTAATGCCGCGACCCCAACCGGTCGTAAGTCGAGGACTAAACCGGTCGTAAGTCGAGGACTAAACCGGTCGTAAGTCAAGGACTAAACCGGTCGTAAGTCGAGGACTACCCAACCGGTCGTAAGTCGAGGACTTTCCCTGCCCAGGAGCGCCGTGCATGCGTGGTTCTGCCCCCTGCGCTGGCCGAGGCGTAGCTGGCAAGCGGCAGAGACGGAGCAGGCCGACCACCAGCTGGCCCAGCCCAAGGGAGGTAAGGCACCCGCCGGAAAAGGGGAAAAAAATGGCGGACAAAAAAATGGCAGACAAAAAAAATGGCGGACAGCCTTGCTTGGCGACCCCCGTGAAATGGTCGATTGACCCCAAATGGGGTCCCGACCCACAGGTTGAGAACCACTGAGATAGAAGAATAGAGTAGAGTAGAGTAGAGTAGAGTAGAGTAGAGTAGAGTAGAGTAGAGTAGAGTAGAATAGAATATAGAAGAGAGTAGAGTAGAGTAGAGTAGAGTAGAACAGGAATAGAATAACAGAGTTGGAAGGGACCTTGGAGGTCATCTAGTCCAGCCCGCCGCCCCCCCCCCCAAGCAGGAAACCCTACACCATTTCTGACAGATGCAGTGCAGTCTCTTCTTGAAAGCTTCCAGTGATGAAGCTCCCACAACTTCTGAGAGAGAAAGAGAGAGAAGGACAGGGAGGGGAGGAGAGAGGGAGGGAGAGAGAGAGAAACTTCAAATCGCATTTCATAAACCACGATTTCCCTTGATGTCACCCACGAACGGTTCTGTGGCCAACAGGCCACAGTTAAAGCTAACCGTGACAGGCCAAAATGGAAACTTACCTTGCGGTTGTGTATGCGCAGTGTGTATAAAAACGGGGCCAGAAAATACTGTGAATGGCAGATAATTTAATTCCCCGAGGAACAACACCCTCCTAAGGTTTTTACAAGAAGTGGGCCAAGCAACTTCGGTCAGTTATGCATCCAGCCACCCTCACCCAGACAGCCAAAGGGGGCTTCTGGTCGGTGCTCGAGAGAGGAGACAGCCAAGGTCTCACGCACAGGGCTGGGGAAAGGGAGACTGGAGGCGGCGGCGGCGGCGGCGGCTGGCAATGCGAGGGAGCGGGCGCGCCTTTGGGTCTGGCATCATCGCCACGTCGGGTGAATAATTCATCGGCCAGGCGAGGCGTCCGCTGGAAGCGCGCAGGGCGCAGAACAAAGCAGCCCCCGAGCCTTTCCGACCTTGGGACGCGCTGCCCCCTTCCCTGCTACCCAGGCGCGTCTGGGGTTGACTACAACTCCCATCACCCGGCTTTGGGGCTGAAGACTGGGGCGATGGGACTTGTCGTCTAACCACCTCGGGAGTCTGGCGAGGTAAGGACGACTGGCGTCCCCAATACGGCGCTGCCAGCCATGTGCGCCCAGGTCTCAGTCCTTCCCACGCGCTCTGGCTACCTTCCCACGACACGTTTCCACTCGATTGGGTGACCAAGCTGCCCGGCGAACCCTGCAGCTCATCAGACGGGCAACGCCCGATGCCAGGAGAATATCTAACCCAGGTTAACTCTCGCCAAGCTAAAACGCGGGATGGAGTGTGGATCTTCCACGTTTTTCACCCAACCCAGAGCCACGGTGTGAAATGAGAGACACGGATTGTAGGTGCCACGAAAGACGACCAGCACTGCAACGCGCCTTAATTCACAGCGCTTTTAAGCTAAGGAAGGGGGGAAAAGCGCAGATGTCCCGAAGCTCAAACAGCTACACCACGTTTCCCGCACTTCAAACCCAGATCCTCTTTTTTTGGGTCATTTGCGGCGCTGGAAACTGAAAAATAATAATAATAATAACCCCGGGATGTAGCCAATTGAGCATGCGCAGAACGGTATCACAGTTAACCGGCTGGTGTCAGCTAGAAATAATCCAGGTTTATCCATTGGAGTCAGCGGAAGGCTCGCCCTTCCAGGCCTGGATGGATTTTCCACCTGGAACCGTTGCTCCAGCGAGACTTTCCAGGCTATAAAAGGATTCGTACTCTGGATAGTTTCGCTCTAAACTTTCGCCGCTGATGTTGCCTCTTTCCCGCCCGCCTTGGCTGCTTGGTTGATGCAGACCGAAACGGCCTCGCAACTTCAGGCTGCAACCTTGCACGCGCCCGCCTGGTACTCTGAACCCCATAATCCCCAGCCAACAAACCTGCCTTATGAGATAATGAAACACCGCTCCCGTCTCCCCCTCTTCCCCCCCCCCCCCCACGACAGGCCGTCTTGAGGATCGCGGCGCTGGTTGCTTTGTTAGATCTACTTTTGTGTGCAGCCCGATCCGAATCTTAAGATAGGCAATCGGGACTGGGAATGTAGAAACCCAGGGATTATAAATGCGACCCAGGTTTCTTTTCCTTGTGGAAACCCCGCCGCCGAGCCTCGAGGTTTCGTTGTCATCGCGACTAAGGGCTACTGGGACAGGTCCCTTCTTAACCCTTCCACTGAATTCTCTCTCTTCTCCACCGCACCTTATAAAACCCTTCCGCGCCAGTATGTTTCTCAACTTTGGCAGCTTGAAGATGCGTGGATTTCAACTCCCAGAATTCCCCAGCCATTGAAAGTCCACGCGTCTTCAAGTTGAGGAACTTGGGCAACCGTCAAATCATGAAGGGGGGGGGGGGTTCCGCGGGACACTAGTGTGTAAGTCACCTTCAATCCACTCCTCCTTTTGGAGGAAGCGCAAGATGGAGAGGTGGGGACCGAACCGCGCTTCCGTCAAGCCCTACTACCCCGCCTGCAGAGATTCTGGGGGAGCAGCCTGGCACCCGCCTCCACCCCTCGCTAAAAAGAGATCCCCGACTCCGTTCCCGGCTCCTCGTCTCTCTCTTCCTCCCAATTCGGGAACCTTGCCCGGCGGGGAGGCAAACCCAAACCCACCAGCTGGTGCGTAAAAGCGCGGCTGGTGCGTAAAAGTGCCGGCTTGCGCTCTCCACTGTGACCAGGGGTGACCCTCGCCTGCCCGGCGTCCTTCTTCGCCGTTTCCTCCTCCTCCTCCTCGGTGGTCCATGCGAGACGCGTCTCCACCTCCGCCCCCTCCTTCCACCCCCCCACCCCCCACTCCCACCCCGCCTCGGAAGGTCTGCCGAAGCGAGCCTCCTTTAGACTCCAGGCATGTCGAGAGAGCTGTGAGATCACCCGGGTTATAAATATCTCCGTGCCAGCGCCGCGCTCTCGGACCGCGCTCTCCCTCTCGCGGGCCGACTATGCCGCCTTCCCAGCGCGGCGGAGCGCACGGCCGGCCGCCCCGAAGGTGCAGCAGCGGCGGCGGCGGCGGGAGCAGCAGCGGCGGGAGCAGCAGCAGCAGCCGCCGCCGCTTCTCCTCCTCCTCCTCCTCCAAAATGCCAGGCGGGTCCCTCGGGCTGGAAGCATGAGCCTGCCTTTCTCCAGCTGCCACCACCACCTCCTCCTCCTCCTCCTCTTGCTTAGCCACTTGATCCTCCAGGCTCTGGCGCACCCGCGGCCCCCTCGGGCGCAATTTGGAGAGGCCGAGCACCACAACGGCGGCAGCAGCAGCAGCAGCAGCAATCTTGGAAATCGCCCCGCCGCTTCGTCTCTCTCCTCCTCTTCCTCTTCCTCCTCTTCCTCCTCCTTTCCCGCACCTTCCTCTTATTCCTCCCCCTCCGCCGGAGTGCAAAACGGCGGCGCGGAGATGAGCAGTTTTAAGTGGAGTCCCTCCGGACGTCGAACGGGCAGCCTCTACTGCAGGGTGGGCATCGGTTTCCACCTCCAGATCCACCCGGATGGGCAGGTCAACGGCTCTCACCAAGACAGCCTCTTAAGTAAGTGCGTGGGCGCCTCTCCTCCCCTCGCTTGGGCGAAGTCTGGGGTCAGCCCGGTCGCTTAAGTTCTGCATTTCGGGGGGGGGGGGAAGGGAAGGTGTGTGTTTGACTTTTGCCGTCCCCGCGCGCCCGAGCGCGCGCCTGGTTGCACGCCTGAGTTTCAAGTGCATCTTAAAAAAAATATTTAATTTATGTAATTTAAGACTGCCTTAGCTTGGCTCAGTCCCTGGGCGATTCCTCTCGGTTCTGCCTAGGTAATTTCTAGCTTTGAAGCGCCGCTGCGTGCGCTCCGCGAGTTAATGCAGGTGCTCAAAAAGCCTTTGGGATTTCGCTGCGGTTCAGTCAGTGGAAATCCTAAGCCCTGAGCGCTGAAATCTGGATGAGGGGTATTCTCTAAAACAGCAGTGGCTCCCAGCCTTTTTTATACCCCGCACACCCCGGGAACGCTTCTGATATATTCTCGCACCCCTTACAAAAGTTTGAAATAATGACAACGAATTATGCATATACACTGTAATCTTGAAAATCCAAGTTTTTGCACCTCCTGGAATATCATCTTGCACCCCTGGTTGGGAACCCCTGGTCTAAATAAAGGGTCTATAAACTGACAATGGAAGGTATACTTCTGAGCAAAGCATTAATAAATCAGATAAGCAGTCCATTACCGGAAAGTATTTCAATAATAATTTTGGGGGGGAAAGCTTACGATTGTGCTGTTTGTGCTTTCTTGAAATCTTGACTATTCCTTGTGTCTTCAGGGCATCGGTCTCCTATTAAGGAGGTCTAGACCAGATCCTATTCAGTTTAAACAGACAGAATTTTACCCAGGTAGAGAAAACATTACAGCATATAGGCTGTTATTTCATTGACCTGCTTGGAAGCAAGACACCCCCCCCTGAAGTCAGGGGGATGTCGGTGTAACTATGGGAGAAATGTGTCCCTTGTGACTACAAAAACCATCACAGAATCCAATGCAAACATCTGGAAGAATGCAGTGCGGGTTAGTCCTCCATGTACGATGGCAAGTGAGCCCAAAATTGGTGTGGCTAAGTGAGGCAGTTAAGTCAGCTTGCCCCATTTTACAACTTCTTTTTGCCATAGTTAAGTGAATCACTGCAGTTGTTAAGTTAGTGACACGGTTGTTAAGTGAATCTGGCATTCCCCGTTGACTTTGCTCGTCAGCCGTTTGCAAAAGATGATGAAATAACCCCAGGACACTGCAACCGTCATAAGTACATGCCAGTTGCCAAGTGTCTGAATTTTGATCACGTGACTGTGGGGATGCTGCAACGGGTCGTGTGAAAAACGGTCCTAAGTCCCCTTTTTTTAGTGACTTTGAACGGTCACTAAATGAATAGTCGTAAGTTAAGGACGAAGCATTGAGAGGGGTCCTAATGCAAATAATGCATGGTGCAAATGAAGGGGAATAAGTGAAAGGCATCCCTCTAGAGCAGGGGTCCCCCATCCCCAGTCCATGGACCAGTACCAGTCCGTGGCATGCCAGCAATTGGTCCGCACAAACAAGCAAAGCCCCATCTGTGGGATGCAGGCAGCACACAAAAGCACGCATCCTCCGGGTCCGTGGAAAAACCTCTCTCCATGGAACCGGTCCCTGGTGCCCAAAAGATTGGGGGCCTCTACTCTAGAGTACGATTCGCCAGGCACATTTGATATATTTTGCAACGTCATATGTTTTTCCTGAACTGTACCACTTCAGGCAGCAGCTGGGAAGTTTGTCTCCCATCCCAAATGTTTGGCATATTGAAATGATACCCTCCCTCTATGAGGGAACAATTAAATGATAATCTTCACTTCTATTGCCCATCGAAGCATTCTGGCAGTTATAATCTGGGCATATCTAGAAGACAATCTGGTGAAGCGTGAGAGCATAGTGTTGAAGATGCTTGCCTCCCCTTTGGAAGGCTGAGAGTTCAGTCCTAATGAGCAGCAGATATTTCTCTCTCTCAGGGAGCAAAGAAAAAAAAAATCTGCTGCGAACCCCACATAGGCATCAGGAAGGGCATCCGGCCGATAAATGTTCAGCTCCATTCAAGTCTCCCCGACTCTACCCCAAATTAAGGGATTACAGCGTCGTAAAAAGAAAAAAAAGGGGGTTGAGAATGGTTGGCTGGCATGGAAAATCAAGGCACCTCCGCCCTTGTTCCTCCTGCACCTGAACCAGAGTGGATGAAGAAACATAGGATGGGGAAAGGAAGGCACCTAAGAAAGACAATCTCTTGTGGCACTAA